AAATCAATTAATTTCATTAAATAGTGCATAGCAGTGTATAGTAATGATAGTTTGTTACTAGCCCGTCCCGCAAACTGTGCGCAAACCGCGCTCCATGTAATTGCACCCGCATTGTTTCAACGTCGCATGAAAAAGAACCTTTACTTCGTGATCCGGACTCATGGGACGCTAGCCTCACTAGCACATGTCTAGGATCTTTTTTTTTCTGGCGCATGCGTTTGGTCAGCTTTCTGTGCATTTCCTTAAATTTCTTTCCGTTTCATGTAGACGCACGTGTTCTCGCATAAGAGTTGGAGGCATTTTCGTGTGAAGAGCATTCGAACGCTTGCATATAATTCGTTATGGGTAAACCAGGTAACGTGGAAACATATTATGTTCTTATCTCCTATTTCACGATTCCTGAACACAGTGAGACCTGCATCCCGGTTTCTTCCTACCAAGCTAACCTCGGCGAAAACGCACTTTGAGATTTAGTGAGTGCACGTTTGGAATTAAATATCGCGGCTTAATTTAGAGCCATTTCAATTCGTATTTCCTTTCAGCAGCGTTCACGATAATTGTAAATATACGTTTATGTTAAGTTACAAACGATTTGCCGGCCGCGTGGCACTAACTCGCTAACTTAACCTAGCCACTCGAATGTGTATTACCTACGCGTTATACGTAATCATGGATGCGTTCCGAGTTACGCATGAAGCGCATGATGCATGATAACTCGGAACACACTCCATGTCTTTATTTGTATACATTCGGAATGAGAAAAAAAAATGTTTGGATGATCCATAATTGATGCTAGAATTCATAATAGAACATTTTCAAATTTTGTGCCAGAATGCAAAAATTAATATTTAAAAATGAACACTACTTGTGTAAAAGAAATATTAAAATATATATTAAAATAAACACATTAAAATTAATGCATCATATAAAATTATAAATAAAATTTTATTTTCCAATATCTGATATAATAAACTCATATTTCTATATTAATTTTAATCCAAAATTAAACTAATATATAAAGCATATAAAAATAGATATCTATGAGAGGAATTACAAATATGTTAACTATATTCCTTTTCTATTATTAATGTTTCTTTTCAAATTGCAGCATTTTCACCAGGTGGTAGAGGTGGCGGCTATGGAGGTGGTCGCGGTGGTGGTCGTGGAGGAGGTAGATCAAGTTTCGGCGAAGGTCGTGGAGGTGGTAGAGGTGGAAGAGGTGGTGGTCCTCCACGTGGAGGACGAGGTGGAGGTCGAGGAGGAAGAGCAAGCAGTGGTGGTGGTGGTTTTAAAGGAGGAAAGAATGTAATAATAGAACCACATCGTCATGAGGGAGTGTTTATAGCCCGAGGAAGGGAAGATGCATTAGTAACCTTGAGCTTGGTACCAGGGCTAGCAGTATATGGAGAAAAAAGAATTAGTGTTGAGGTAAATATAGGTGGAACTTTATAATAATTTTACTTTTAAATGTGTAAATTAACAAAATTATGTTTGTATTTCAGTCTGATAAACCTGGCGAAGAAAAGAGTGAGAAGATAGAGTATAGAGTATGGAATCCATTTCGATCCAAGTTATCTGCCGCTATTCTCGGAGGCGTTGATAAAATTTATATGCCTCGCGGAAGCAAAGTATTGTATCTAGGTGCAGCATCTGGTACCACTGTGTCCCATGTCGCTGACATAATTGGTCCGGTAAACACTATTGGAAATCTTGTTGAGAGTAACACGTTTATGCATACATTAGAGCCAAGTTAGCTTGCAATTGCAAACTTGGTGTCGAAGTAATGCTAAAACAATCGCACACATGTTTCTTTAGAATGAGTAAGATTTGATTTTGCTCAGAAAAAGACACATGTGTACAGAGTTTATTGTGATACACGAACGTCTCTAAATGATATAAAATTATGACTGACTCAATATTTTTATATGTAGGAAGGAACTGTGTTCGCTGTTGAATTCTCCCATCGAACAGGAAGAGATTTAATTGATGTCGCTAAAAGAAGGAGCAACATTATACCTATAGTCGAGGACGCGAGACACCCTCACAAGTACAGAATGCTTGTAGGGATGGTAGACACTATATTCTCGGATGTCGCACAACCGGACCAAGCAAGAATCGTTTCGCTGAATGCACAGAATTTCCTAAAGAACGGCGGACATTTTGTCATCTCTATTAAAGTAAAAGATTTTTTATTA